AACGCTCATGCATGTGCACCAAGTTCCTGTGTTGACATCCTGTCGCTAGGCTACATCTTCTTCTTCTTCTTTTTCTTCTTCTTCTACTGTTTAATGGGGACCCGCGGGACCCAATCCCAATGCAGCCCTCTATGTCAGAGTACAAAAGTTACCCGGGCCATGGCCCCCCTGGCCCCCCCGGTTCCGCGGTCTGTGGTTTGTAGAACAAGTTTGTAAAACAGTTTTGAACAGTTAGAACAAGAGTCTGGACTGCAACGTGCAAATCACTCCTTCTAGTGGCAACCTACGCTTTCCCTGTCCTCGCGGCTGCAACTCTCTTCATACTTCATCGCCACTGCTGTACACAATTTAAAAACTACAACACCCATAATTCATGTAGGAACTGCTGCAGCCAATGTGCAGCCAGCGGGAGCTGCAGGACGACTCAACCACCATGATCCGTTTTTATTGTTTTGTCAGGCAATAACTACTCCAGACCCTGCTTTAGTGTAATTTTCGGGACAATTAGGGCAGGATTCGCGATTCGGGACAACTGCTTGGATTTCGGGACTGTCCCGAATTTTTCGGGATGTCTGGTCACCCTATGAGCGCATGAGACTACACTCCCTGTAGAGTCATCGGCTCCTCACCAGTGCCAACAGCTTGTCACATTTGTTGAAGAGCAAATTGAAATTCCCCAGGAAAGACTTGTATTTTGTATCTCCTATCTATTGGGTGTCTAACTCCATAAGTGCTTCTTGTCAGAGCCAGAAGATAGTCCCTCGTATACACAACTTTACTCATCACATTGGAAAGATAAACAACCATTAAAAAAAGAAAAAAAATACCGTAAACCAGCATAAATTCAATCTGATTCTGCCCATCCAGGGCTTGAACCTCTAATAATGAGAACAATTAGGGTTTCAGGAAGAAGCTTTGCTGCTTGGACCCCTACCCTAACAGCACAAATACAATTGAGTTTCAGCCCTTTGAGCTTGAACCCCAAATGCTGACAGCAAAAACAACAGAACTCCAGCAGCAAGTGTCACTTCTCCCCTATATGAGGCTCCAGCAGCGAGCCCAAAGGCAAAAAGCCACATAAGCTGACATTGCCTGCTCCTAAGATTGCCTGATTTTCACAGTAAGTATACTGGGATTGATTTAGTGTTTTATTTGCATTTCTCTATCACCAATAATTTAGTTAAGTTACTAATGAAGCATGGCTTTCACATTGTTTGCAAACTGAGTAAGCTGAGTAAGGTTAACAAACATTAGCAAGGACTTGCTAGTCCCTTAGCAAGAATTTGCTTTAAGGTTATTCTAGCTAAAGTTACATAAATGAAGATGGATACACAGATTGTAGACTATTGTAGGATTCAACATTGATCGTTTGTTGATCTAAAGAAAGTCTTCTGTTAACATTAAATATAAAATGGTCAGCCTAATTATTGGCAGTGTTACCTAGCTAACGTTAGCACTGCTGAAAGGAAAAGAGGGAAAATGCTGACTAGTTGCATACACAGTAAAATGTTAACAGATATTTTAATGGAAATAACATTTTGTACACAATAAGTTCTTCCTTGAAAAACTTAAGTGAAGAGAGTGTTTTTGTTTTTGTCATTCCTGTACATTTTCTTTTGACGCAGACAATTTAGGAGCAGCAGTCTGTTAGCTTGTACCTAGTTGTTAGCTAGTAACCCAGTATGATGCCTGTTTGTGGCTAGCTCAACATTGTGTGCTAACGTAGCCACAAAGTATAATAGCTATTTCTTTACACATCCATGCCACTAAGAGGTGGGGCACAAAATCCAGTTTTGTTGTAAGCAGCCTAGATATAGTATGTTATCAAGCAAGCAGGGTAAAGGAAACAGACCTTGTACATTAATGCTGTTACCCATCATGTGAGTTGCTCATGTTTCTCGCGTGTTATTTTTCTGCAGTATGAGGGCAACCATAAACTTTGAAATGTTTGCGAGTTGATAAGGACCCCCTGAATACACAGTTAGTTTTGATGTCTCATTTGTGGAGGAATAGCGAGTTAAGCCTGGCTTCCAGGTCCTCTGAAGGACCTACCTTTGTTGGTCACATACTCCTGGGGATCCACTGGATACGCAGCTACTGTCACAGTTTACATTGTACTAGTCCAGTCACAATTCTGTTGGCCAGGCTCCAGTCACACAGTCAACAAGGGTAGAAAAAAATATTGCTTTGGTGAATTGTTTGAAAAAAATTAAAAATGTGAAAAGAAAAATGTTAAAATTACAGCTATTAATCAGAATGCTGGTGTTAAAATTTATTTTCGGTTGAAAGTTTATGTAACATTCATTCTGTTGCTTTGCATCTTTTAGTTGTGCAGGAATGCCTTCTTTTGGCAAAGCCTGTTTCCAGACATTTTACAGCTTGATTGCCCGGTTTAAAATATTTCTTAGAAAATTAATCAAAAACTAATCAAATGTAGTAAGTTAAATTACTTTGATGAGGTAATTAAAATAGTTGCATAATGTATTACATTTCTAACAGGGTAACTAGTAATCTGTAATCAATTACATTTCAAAAGTAACCTTTCCAACACTGTTTATATCCAGTTCACACTGAATTCACTTACAATGAGTTCAGGTACACGAAAAGCCAGATCAATTACTTTAAGACAGTAGGCTAAGGAGATAGTAATAAATAAAATTAAGTCTTAAGATCAGTCAACTAAGGATTTTGCACGTGAGGGGGGCCATAAAAGTTGCTGGGCCCTTACAGTGCCTTAGACACTGACTGCAAGGCTGTCAATGCAAGGCTGTTAACCTAAAATACTGTCTTGCCAGCTGATGTCCAGACAGTTAGGGAAAGAAAAGAATGGATAGATGAAGGAAGCACTCTTTCCTTAGGAATTAATTATTGATGTTTATCAAAAGAGACTGACTTTAATGAGCACATTGAGGTTTACAAGACTCGCGAACTACAGCCTAATGATTTTGGTGCTCATGTATGATGTTGCATACTCAAATGACACAGTGAATACATCAGAATTAAAAGTCATCAAATCTATCAAGATAAAATAGGATGAAAAGTAATGTAGCTGTGTATAACCATATCTGAATGTGTGAAAACATTTTGATCAAATGAACGGAAGGAAGCTTCAAAAGGAATTTAGGATTTGATTTGTACTTGTAGATTTGATTCGAGATGTAAATGCGGGTGTCATAGAGTTGAGTGCTGTGTGAACTTTTTTTCATCCACAAACAGGTAAACTGCAAATGTTTGTACAAATCTTTATGCACTCAGATCTTTCTCATTTATAAAAAAAAATGTTATGCACAGCTGTAGATGTTCTTACAGATTCAAAAACTAAATTTATTTGTTCAGATATATTTTTTACATGTCAAACATTTTGTTTTGTTTGTTTGTGGTTATGTTGTATTTTAGGTAGCCTTGTGTAACATCTTGCCCAAGGGACTACAGAAAAAAAATAGCCTCTTGGCTAATTCTGGCATTTTTATACCATGTGAATTTATTAATTTGCATTGTCCTTTCTTAAATAAACTAACTCAAACTCATTTGAATTCTTTGATCAAAATGTTTTTACACATTCACACATTTAAATTCAATAATACAAAATGTTTTCACACATTCAGATATGGTCAAACACAGCTACAATAGACTTTTTAATTGCTGTACTGTTGCTCAGGCAATCGGACATCTACTGCATAGCTTCTTTGCATATGACGTCATATGCGATGTGCGCTGTCCAGATGGAGGGCAGGCAGCTAGAGGCAAAGTCTACCTACACTGCACACAAATACCTATGATTTGCACCGTTTATGGCTGTTCCATTTAATTAAACTGAGGAAAAACAAAAGCCACTTTACGTTCCGAAAATAGTATCACACAAAAAGGTGAAATAAAAAAGTCATGGAGAAACACTGGCAGGTGCAGATCAAAATACTCTTGTCTGTCTGGAGGAGCACAGTCAACTGATTTAAACCCAGATTTTTAACAGCGTTTACCAGATGTCTAGGAATGGTTGACCTAGTAGGTAGAAAATAGCTAAAGTTAACTAGTAACATTAGTCTGACAATGGTGTATCCATTTACAGAGCTGAAATGTAAAAGAAAGTAAGAAGAAAGTTACTCTAGCACATTTACTTACCTGACCAAAAACAAGACAAAAAACATTCGAATCGTTTCAGTCATGGAACCAACTGCTCACAAAATAGTTATAGCCCACTAGACTTTTGTACGCTTTCATTAGCTCGCCCTGTAAGGTTAGTAATGTTAGGAAGTCTGGAGAATGAAATGATTTGTAATTCCAATCGTGTCCACACCAGGCAAGTCTGTCAAATTGTGGGGGAAAATAAAAAAACAACACTTCAGTTTCCTCTATATGCAGTTCACACAGTATATAAATGTATCACTTTCTACCTTCCATCTGACTTTTGCCATCATAATAGTCATGTGACTGCAAACAAGCTATTAACAAACATTCCAACAGGAAATACACTTGGACTCTTTTAGAATGTCAATGTTGATCAGTTAAACAGTCTATACATTTGTGTCTGGTTTGACTCCATACAAATCTTGCCCAAAATCTGTAGTGCATAATATTCTGAAATCTCTCATTTCACCATACTGACTACATAAGGATCTCATTTGGTTTCATGAAAATGGGGAACCTGAGACAACTGGTTTTCAGAGGCTGGTTTCATACCAATGACTCTTGATGAACAAAAAATATGTGGTCAATAGCCTATTAGATTATAAATTGTTGTCAGTTTTACCTAGACAATTCCAACGTATGTGGGCGTGCGTGCGTGTGTGTTTGTGTGACAGAGGGAGAGAGAGAAAGAGAGAGAGAGAGAGAGGGAGAGAGGCGGGGGGGTCAGTAAAGGGAAATGAGACAAAGTTGTAGAATGCTGCTCACTTGGCTCAGATACAGTCCATAGCTGGTTAGTAAGAACGCTTTAAGTGTATCCACCAGGCCTACTGTCTGTTGTAAATCCTATTCATGAGCAGACAGTAACAGAAACTACTGGTATCTGTCTCTTTAGGCGTGTTCAGCCTGTATGACCATATCAGGAGCACGGAACCCGCGCACCTGTAAGCTGACGTCATACGCTGAAAGTACCTGCAGCAACTCGTCCAGCTGAACTCATTCGGTAACTGAAACTACCCTCACGAAAGAAGACAAAGAAGTAAGGACGAATATTCGGAAGGGAATAGCCTATATATTTAAAATTCATCTCAAATCCAGTTATTTTTTAAACTTTAATTGCGAGGAATATTGACAGAGGATTTACAGACAGATGGGGACCGCCCGGTTCGCGGTTTTGTGCATTTTTATCACCGTGTTTCAGGTAAGATTTCCTGCTTTCGTTTGAAGTTGACGGCTTCCACCGTTTTCTGTTCTTCCATGGTCTTAAATTCAGAGAACAAGAAATACATCGTTAGTTAATGTTAACGTTACCTTAAATCTGACATAACATTAATTAGGTGTTTTTAGAAACCTTCGTTTCATGGCAGTGTCTGAGAGTAATTTCGCTTATGCAACAGGCAGCTTTTATTTAAGTAAAATCGCTTCTTTTATTCGTCACACCACTTGGCGCGGCTCTCAGTCACTGTATTATCTTTAAGGAGTTAGGTTGGAGCAGATGATAATGGCTAAATTGTATTTTAATGGGTGTTGCGTCGACCATATATCAAGGGGGAATTGAAGATAAAAGCTAAACTCTCATAATGTAAAAGGAATGTCTCGACAAACGTGTCAGCCCCCTTACAAACACAAAGCAGCTTCATATTGCTTTATTTTCTTTTAGTTTGAGTCTTCCTCCTCGACGAGTCAGTGGGTCTACACGGGCCTCGCCCTAGTTCTGCTGATGACGTCGCCGGCAGGTTGCATTCCCTTCAAACATGTTTGGGAGTGGATTGCTTGCAAAAGCGCCTTAGGTCCTAGGCTACAATTTGTTCACATAAATGGGGTTTACCGTTGTGTTGTAATAATTACGAGAAGTAGTTTTTTCCACTTATTTGTGCTAGACCGAGAACAACCATTTTGAGATTTCATTGTTAGGTAATAAAGTAAAAACGGCAACTATGCTGATTCTAGCGTTTCCAGTGTGACTTTGCTGCTTTTTCTGTGTCATATCATGTTACGTTGTGTTTGACCTTTGTACTGGACAAAACAGACTATTTAAAGACCTCACCCTGAGATCTCAGTAGTTGTAATGAGCATGTTAAACCTTTTTTGACATTTCATAGACTAAACTAATAGAACTATTGAAAAAAAATTGATGTTTTAAGTTTATCTGCCTTAGTTGGGGATTACACTAGTGACAGGTAAATCATTCTGCAACCAGAGACCATGGATTAACAGAATTATCCAGCAGCCAACAATATAAGAAGACGGGAAAGAGGACTAAATTACACACATGTTAAAGTAGCTGATGATTAATCACACAGAATGGCATTTAATGTTTCCAGACTGAAAAAAAAAGTTTTCTTGTAGCAAGCTGATTGTACATTTCCCATAGGTCTGGTTTGTGATTCATTACAAGGCTGTTTTCCTCTCTTAGGCCTCTGTTTTAGTGACTGCTGAGGAGCCAACATGTGTAACTGGATTCCAGTCAGATTTGTTGATTTTCAAAGTATCCGTAAAGCACCTGAAACCGAACACAAGACTGGGAAAAGGTAAGAACAGTTCAGGATGCTGTTCTCTCACTCATTAGCTATTACACACACTTGGAGGAAACTGTGTTGTGTTCATTTCCAGTATTTAGTATCAGTAATATATGAATTATTTTTAGATTGCAGAAAAAAAACATTTTAGTGATGGAAGCATGTAGATCTAAATTAAAGCCAGAGATGAAACCCCTTAGCTTTTCTAAGGTGCTCCTCTGGCTCAGATGACCTTCTACCGATAAGCTGTTATTGTTCTCACCGCCAAACAACCACATGTCTCAGCTTGCACTCACCCAGCACCTCATGCAGTGCTCTTACCTGCAGGGCAAAACAATGTCCCCGAGCCTGTTTTGCAGGCCTTGCTTTTCAAATAGTGTGGAATACACAATGTGCAATGAAAAACACTGCTGTGGTTTTGCATGTTTGTCAGGTCATGGACATTTTCCACAGTCTTTTTCCCAAAGTGGTCTCTGTAGAATAATTAACTACCCTCTTTGGTAAGGCCTATGTCTTTGTCTGATTGTCACATCTTTGCAGGGTTATTCTATGTAGCTCAAAAGGATAGTTCACCCCCAAATCAAAAGTCACCAGATCATTTCATGTAGGAATTATTTTCTTTCTACTGAACTACACCAGCCAACCATATCACTGCACAGAAGGACAGATGCAACTACTGCTAGGTCACCTAGCACCACTGAGCTAGATTTCGTTACAGGTCAGCTGAGGAAGACACTTAATGATTACATCTTGCACTGACATGCGTTTTTCCTTCTTCACGGTGATATGGTTGGCAGGTGTAGTTTGGTAGAAAAAAAATAGTTCCTACATGAAACTGCACATGACTGTGCTTTACCATCTTCAGGGTACCTGCGGGGTCTAAAAGTATATTAAAAAACATTGAATTTTATATTTTCAAATTATGGCCATTAAACTATTATATTTCCTTCACAGAAGTTTTAATACTTGGGAGGTTGTGACACATTTTTCTGTTAAACAGACTTATCAAGTCATAAGAAATTACAATGATTAATGGTCATAGGATATACTTAATATTGGCCCTAACTGCATGTAAAACAAACAAAATGACTCTGGGTTTAGAATAATTCATCTGTAGCATAAATCACAATAATTATATTTTGTTTTTGTTTTAACCATGTAAAATATGCAATGCATATGTCAGTACTTCTGCTGTTGCTTATATGCATTTTGAATACATTTTAGTATTCACTATGTTAGGTCACATTTGCAACAAGTCTGTGTACAGGTCTGACTGTCCTACAGCAGGGGTGTCACCAAAAAAGCTCAATACTGAGATGAGCACTGACCACTGAAGGAACTCGGCTCCTTATTACCTGAAAGAGTTGAATGACTCATTTGCACGCCCCGCTGAGTCATTCAGTTTAGTTGGATCCACTGTCATCATCAGTGAGCCTACATTTACAGAGCGAGCGGGTGACGAGGAAGAGGAGAGAGTGGCTGCCTGCTAAATCCCACATTCAGAACCAGTCACGGCCGCACTTTAGGCCAGAAAATAGATCTGCTCGCAATATATGCAGTTTTAAACAACACTTCTGTTATAT